CGACCTTTCTCTTCCCCCCAAACAGCTGCTTTGTCCTCACTTCCTCTCTCCCTTTCTCCCCTGCAGGCACGATGATCCCCAGGTCCGGCGGGGACTACGCCTACATCGGGGAGGCGTTCGGCCCGCTGCCGGCCTTCCTGTACCTCTGGGTGGCGCTGTTCGTCATCGTGCCGACGGGCAACGCCATCACGGCGCTCACCTTCGCGCAGTACATCCTGCAGCCCGCCTGGCCCACCTGCGAGCCACCGGACGAGGTCATCAGGCTGATCGCCGCCATCGTCACGTGTGAGTGGCAGCAGCGTCGATGCTGCAATCGATTTGACGCCGTATCGAAATCACGTCGATTCGGGGGATGAAATCAGGGTGGACTGCTGGGCGAATCTAACGCCAACGCGGATCTCTCACGGGGGTCATTTTTGTCCGGCAGGCGTTCTCACGGCCATCAACTGCTACAACGTCAAGTGGGCGACCCGCGTGCAGGACCTGTTCACGGGCACCAAGCTGCTGGCGCTCGTGGTCATCATCCTGACCGGGCTGTACGCCCTGGGCGCCGGCAAGACGGAGAACTTCCAGCAGCCCTTCCAGAACACCATCACGTCGCCGGGTCACATCGCGCTGTCGTTCTACTCGGGGCTCTTCTCGTACGCGGGATGGTGAGTCGACCCCACCGGGTGTAGTGTAGTGCCTCTTGTTTTTCGCCGGGTGCTGAAGCCGCGCCGCACGGGTTTTCCTCGCCGGCTATTATTCGCAGTCACGGCTGCGTCCTGCCGTTGAGCGGCGACAAAATGGGTCGCCCTTGCTGAGTGGCGGCTGCATTTAATAGTGGCGGGCGGGGAAAACAAAGATACAACGGCGAACAGTGTCCTCTATGTTGGCGCGATTGAGTCTCACGAGAATCTCTGTCTGCAGGAACTACCTGAACTTCGTGACGGAAGAGCTGAAGGATCCCTACAGGTAAGTAAGCCCGCCGTGCCTTGATCGTGGTCAGTTTATTGGGATTGACCAGATTTGGCCGCATCGTCGGTACTGTACTGTAACCATGAATCGTGATTTTTAGTACAACGACGCATTTCGTTCCAGAAATCTACCTCGCGCCATCTGCATCTCCCTTCCCATGGTGACCATCATCTACGTGTTGGCTAACATCGCCTATTTCGTGGTACTTACTCGCGACGAGCTGCTGTCCTCCAACGCCGTGGCTGTGGTGAGTTTGTTACTGAGCTCCCTTCAGCTCTTCACTTTTCGCAAAGCAAGTCCATCGAACTAAAACAACTTACTCTCCAACCCTTTCCTTCCCCAGCTCTTCGGCGAGAAGATGCTGGCCGTCATGTCGTGGACCATGCCCGTCTTCGTGGCCTGCTCGACGTTCGGCGCGCTCAACGGCGCCATCTTCGCGTCGTCGCGCCTCTTCTTCGTCGGGGCGCGCCAGGGCCACCTGCCCACTGCCATCGCGCTCATCAACGTCAAGAGGCTCACCCCGGTGCCCTCGCTCGTCTTCTTGGTGAGTCTTCAAAATATTTGATTCGCATCACGCCCCGGCCGTGTCATGGGTTACTTAACGGCTCGACCCTCCAAATACAGTTTCGGTTATCGGTCGGAACCACGTCGAAACACACGCCCTATTTTTGACCGTCTGCAGAGACAACTTTGGAACTATCCATGAGTATTCTTACCGGGGCGTTCGGCCCTCTCCTCGGTCAGGCCTTCCAGAAGACGTCTCAGGAAAAACAAAAACTCCCTATCGCCCCGGCACTGAGTGCTGCTGATTCACCCTCGGGTTATTTTCCGCTCTATTGAATAGGAGACGAAACTGTTTCACCATCAGCTCACCAACCAACTGTCCCATCAGCAGCTCGCTCACCTCAAACTGTTTCACCAGCACCTCGCTCACCACAAATCTGTTTCCATTCCGCAGTGCATAATCACCCTGGTGCTGCTCGTGATCAAGGACGTGTACGTCCTCATCAACTACGTCAGCTTCGTCGAGTCCTTCTTCACGCTCGTGTCCGTGTCCGGGCTGCTGTACATGCGCCGCTCCAAGCCGGATCTGCACCGGCCCATCAAGGTGAGTCTGCGACAATCCTGGGGCAGCGTTCCGAAGGAGTGCGAATGTAACGCAGCAGCTAACGCCCGTCGTGAATGTGTCTAGGTCAGCATCGTGCTGCCGCTGATCTTCTTCGTCATATGCACGTTCCTCGTGACGTGCCCGTTCTACGTGAGTCCGGTGGAGGTCGGCGTCGGCATCGCCATCATCTTGGCCGGCATCCCAGTCTACTTCGTCTTCATCTACTGGAAGAACAAGCCCGACTGGCTCACCAAGTCTTCGCGTAAGTTGGCCGTGTGATGCACTTTCTCGTTTTCGCGACATTTAAAACAAATTCATGACATTGTGGCTTACGTTTGAACTCACATTACAGACGCGTTCAACCTGATGTGCGCCCGGCTGTTTGAGTGTGTCCTGGAGGACCAGCGGTGACCCACTCGCCACAGCAGTCGGTGTACTCTCGATGCACATTCCCATCGGCCTGTTCGGTTCTCCGATTAAATTCTTGAACCACAACAATATGCCACTTTCCGGAAAGGAAGTTGACCTGTGATACGTGTAGTCTGTCTGCTTGGTTGAACACTGAGGGATGTCAGGGTATTTAAAATGTCTTGTCGCGGACGGTTGACGGTACTATCGGCTGTTCTGCCCTTGGCATTGTATGGTGTTGAATATTTTGCCTGTTATTTATTAATTATCTTCGAGGACATTCTTTATATTTTTACTTCTTGTGCTTCGGCCATCTTTTTCACTTTCACTAAAAGGCGAATTTTATGTTTTGAGTAGCATTTGCCTCTGTCTTTTTTGTATTGGGAATTGTCCTAAAATGTTTGGACTAATTTAAAAAAGTGAAACGCATACTTTGAAGATGTGTGTTTCCATATTTATTAACTTTACACTTTTGGGTAAGCCTCCCAATGATATTCAAGTTCCATCTTATTTATATTATTGAGCCACCTATCGGCAAAAATACTTCTATTTTAGTACTACTTTTATTTATAAATCATGGATCTGAGTGCCCTGTATATCACTGTCAATTGT